GCCCGGCCCGCCCCGTCGCTGCCCTGCGTCCGCGCTTCACGGCTGGGATCCAGGAAACCCCGGAGCGTCGTGCCCCTCGGCACCCCCTTGCACGGGGCAGTGGGGCGCCCTGACTCGTGTGCCGTGCGGGGGTGGACGGAGAGGCCAGGTCGGTGCAGGTCGTGGAGGGCCTAGGGGATGACTGTGCTGCCAGTGTTTGGCTCCCGCGGCCGAGCTGTGCGCTGGAGGCCGGGGTGGCAGCTGGGAGCGGTGGGTGTCTTCAGCAGAGAAGCAGCTTCGTGAGCACCTTCCTGGGGCATGGCCGGCCCCTGACAGCCTCGCGTTCGTGCAGCACCGAGCAGTGCCGTCTGCACAGGAAGCTTGACACAGGGGCCCCTACTTCATGTCCCCCAAGGGTTTCTTTAAGAGAACTGGGCCCTGGCTCGATTGAGGTGGTCACCAGACGCAGGGCTGACATCCTAGTGACTTCGCAGCTAGTTTGCTCTGTTCCACTGAGGAAGCATTGTTAAGTGATTAAGATTGTAGAGGAAGCTAATGTGCGCTACACACACGTGAATGGATTATTTTCTAGCTAGAAGACTGATGTGTCCTAAGGAGTATGAAGATGACAGAGCAGGAGGTTTGTCAGAGCATCCGCGAGAGAAACTGGATCTCTGTTCAAGGCTCTCAGGCACTGTGGGGAATGCAGAGATACAGCCACCCCTGCCGTCCAAGGGTTTCTCTTCCAAAGATGAAGTAGTGACCACGTGAGGACAAAGCAGATTGTTCTGTATCGACACACTTACATTCAAAGTGTACACTCAAGTGTGTGTGTTGTCTTGGGCCAGCGGATCTCTCGCTGGCGGGGCGTGCGGGTGCAGGCAGTGTTTGTGACGGAGGCCGGCAGCACGGCAGGGTACATGCTCAGGCGGTAACGCGCTGCGGCAGTGGGAGTAGTGGGTGGGATCACGTGTCAAAGAGCTCATGTATCCTCAAGTTGTTTTCTTTGGTAAAGATTCCTTTACTTATGCACACAAGAGTTGGGGTGCAGGCCAGAGGTGTGGGGGGTGAGAAGATTCACCAGAGACAGTGGGAGCAGGACAGGCAGATGGACTGAAGTACACTGCTGAGGGGAGCAGGGGGAGAGGTCTGCTGAGTTCTGGATTAGCTGGGGGCGTGGGAGGAGTCAAACTGCTGCACAGCTTGATGGCGCTGAGACTTCACCCCTTTCGCGCTGAGACCTAACCCCTTGCATCACCAGGTAGGCCCATCCTGAAGTTTTTTTTTTTCTTGAGGACTGTAAATGAAGTGGTTTAAGTAAAAAAAAGTGGGCTTGGAGACAATAGAGGCCCATCAAAGAGGCCAGAGTCTCGATTTTGAGGAACCGAAGACATTTGAGAAACACCTCTATCTAGTCTGGGCTTACTCAGAGGTTTTTGTTTTAAGTTGGTTGCAAACTCTTCCCATGTGAGTTCTACTTGCTCTCTCCTGCCTTCCCAAAGAGCCAGGATATAGTGGAGGTTCTTCACAGAGTTCTTTACACATAAGATCCCCTCAGGAAGGGGTAGGCAAGGAAAACCGAAGTAGGCCACCCTAAGGAAGGCTGAAGTGGTGACTGGCTCACATGTGGACTGGCTTAGCTTGGAGCGGGGTGGGAAGTTGTGGAGAGATTACCAGTGAGGGGAGAGTTTTGACTTCCTGGCTTGGCTGGTATTTAATATCTGATATGCACACAGAATATCCTGACAAAATATTAACAACATCAGTTCAATCAATAAAAATATCTAAAATATCAATTCCTGCTGAGGCTGTTTTTCATGATGTAAAAGAGACCTACCTAGCACGTCTGCCCCTGGCTCTTGGACCTAGGTAACAACTTCATTTTGGAGCCCCAAATTGTATTAGTAAACTTTAAATTCACCTACGTTTGTCTTTGATGTCTACCTTGGCATATCACAGCCACTAAGTTTATTGTGAGTGAGTCTTGGGACTGACTGAAGTGGGAGAATTTGAGCTTAGGATTTGCAAGAGAGAAATGTCTCTCTCTTGTTCGCTAAGCAAGGAAAATGGCTTTTCGGCCTCTGGTGAAGATCAAGCGTGTAAGCAAGGAGATGCCCTTCACCAGATGTGAGGGAGTTGCTCTGTGACCAGGAGAGAGGAAGACGTGGCTGCTGCCTGGAGATTGGGAACTTGCAGACTGAGGAAAGAGACGCGTAGAACTCCAGTCTTGGGGGATGGAAGAAATGCCTTCCCTTCCTTTAGACTGTTACTGCCCCTTGGAGTAGTAAAGGCATAATGTTTGGAGTAGTTAGGGAGGTTTTTTTTTGGAGATTTTGGAAAATGAATTAATTCTTTTTAAAGAAAAGCACAATTACCAGTAAAAAACAGTTGTGAAGCAGGATTACAAGTTAGCAGGTTGACTTGCTGCGCACCCCAAGGCAAGTTCCTGCCGCCGCGCCCCCAGTGTGATGGTGCAGGAGTGGGTCAAGGCCAGCGCGCCGCCTGCAGCGCCCATCGCGGGCTGGGGCCCTGCTGCGTGGGCAGTACTGCTGCCCTCAGCCCTTCGCCGGGCCGCTGTGTTCTGCGTGTTCACTTGCGGCCCGGGCAGACCATCTGGTGATGGGAGGATTCACTCGAGGGGTGGGGGCTGGACCCGAGCCCTTTGAAGATGCTTTTGTAGACACAGCATGCTTTTCCAGGCCGCTCTTCGTGATCATGGTGAACGTTCTTGTCTGTAAAGTCTTTACTCAAAGGGAAGATGTATCCCAACACCAAGCGCATAGCCACTGCCAGATGAGAACTTCGCCCTTCGCGTCTGGGTTCCCGCAGAGGGGCGGAGTATGTCCCCTCTGTCCATTTGGAAAGCTCCAACCTCTGGGCTAGTGAGGATACTCGGGCACCCCGTGAGTACGGCTGGGCATAATGAAATAAGAGCTGAGCACAGTCAGGGCGTGGGAAGCATTGTCAAAGGGGCTGAAGCGCTTGCGAATGACAGCCAGCGAGATGCCAGGGAGGTGGTGAGATGCCAGGGAGGTGGTGAGATGCCAGGGAGGTGGTGAGCGCAGTGTGAAGCCCACGCCGGGGAGGCCAGAGCGGCTCTCTTAGACTGCGAGCCTGGAGCTGGGTTTTGTTTTGAAGGAAAAAGTGAACTGGCAAGTAGGCAGGAAGAACACTCAAGTCTGCTTCCCCAGCCAGCTAAGGGGAGGGGCTCAGAGTGATCTTGGGGGGATAAAGGAGTCTGGTTTTCCTGGCTACACAGCAGGGAAAGAGCAGAGAGGCGAGGACTCGCCGAAGGTTCTTGAGCAGTTGCAGACTGGTTCCTGTAAAGATCTTGTCCCAGCGCTGACTTCCTGTGGTCTGGCCCTGCCGGGGCTGTCGGGCTGTCGCCCCCTTGTCCCCATGGGCCACCTGGGCTGTTCTCAGAAATGCAGATGGGTGTTGGGGAGGCCTTGGGGAGTGGAGAAGGAACAGTCATAGTCTCGTAGTCATAGCTTCTGTTAGAGAAGTTTGCAGAGGGAAAGGTATTTTAGGGGAAGTGTGGGTTTCACTTGGGGTGCAGTAGTGAGAGATGATGGGCACAGGCAGAGGAGCACAGGACTTCGCTGGTTTCACAGGTGGCTCTGGGTTCACATGTTTCACGTTCTGCGTTCCCTCCCCGGAAGGCCTCAGACTGAGGGAGCGTGAAGGGCGTCCTCGGGGCTCCCATGAGCCCCGTGTGCACCTCCCTTCTGCCCAGACTGTTGCTTTCTTAGCCTCTGCTTTCCCCTCTGTTGAGGTCACTTTCTTCCAAGGGTCATAGCCCTTCCCTTGAAACCCTTGGTTCGCCTCTTAGCAAATGGCCTCTGTACAGCTTTGCTGACTTCGTTTTCTGAGCTGCCGTACCCGATGGCCACACGGCGCAACTTAAACCACATGTAGTCACTACCCTTTAAAAAAAGATTTATTATTTATTTATGCATACAAGAACTGGGGTGTAGACCAGAGGTGTGGGGGGTGGTGAGAGGACTCACCAGAGACAGAGTGAGGAGTAGAAAAAGCAGAGTGGCTGAAGTACACTGCTGAGGGGAGCAGTGGGCGGGCAAGACAGGAGAGGGTGCCGTGCCCTGTGGTCAGGTCCCTGGCCAGGGATTGGACTCTGGCTGCAGACAGCTTCATAGCGCTGAAACCGCCTCCCCGGCACCCCCAGGGAGGCCCTGTACTGACTGTTTTACAGTTGTGTAGCTCAGAGGTCCAGCTCGGGCCCACTGGCCTAACCTCTGGAGGCTCCTTGCTCGTTGGCTGTAGGCTGGGTGGTGCGTTCGCAGGACCAGGGCTCCGTGTCCTGGTGGCGGTCAGCTGAGGCTGCTCCCCGCTTCTGACGTTCACTGGCGTCCCTTGCTCGCGGCCCCCCGCCCCACCTCAGAGCCTGTGGTGGCAGGTGGGGCCCTGCTCACGCCCAGTCTTCCCCTCTTCCTCCTTCCTGTCTGCACTTCAGGATTGTGGCTGGAGTCCGGGGTGTTGAGGTCCATGCATAACTTTGTCATGTCTGCAAGTTCCTTTGTCTTACAGGACACATTCACGGGTGCTGGGGGAAGGGCCTGGGCATCTTCCGGGAGCCCTTCCTCGGCCTGGCCCAGCTGAGCCTGTCTGTAAGCCCTGGGCGCCTTCCGCCGCTCCTCTGCTTTGCCCAGCGAGCTGCCTCTCGTAGCTCTGCGGTCACACCTCCTCAGCTTAGGGGTGTTACGGGGTTTGTCTCTGCCGGGGGTAATATTGATCTGATCCTCAGTCTCCCTTTACCAGATATGTCTTGTCGTTCAAGACTCGCCACACTGAACGAGAAGCTAACAGCCCTTGAGCGGAGGATAGAGTACATCGAGGCCCGGGTGAGTGTGGGCTGCCCTCTGGGCTGGCTGGGCCTGCTGGGCCGGGCCACCGCCGGGAAGTGGAGTGCCCCGGCCTGCAGCTGGGCCGCGGGGCTCCTGACCGCCTGCGAGCTAGAAGGTGTTTGTGCCCCTCTATCCTTCTGAACTTACCCAAGTGTCACTTTTGCTTCGACAGGTGACGAAAGGCGAGACCCTCACCTAGACCCACCATGCCGCTGCTGGGGAGCTGCTCTCCGGGGCCCCGGCCTGCTTGGGAAAGGCCCCGGCAGCCTCCCGCCTTCCTCTCCGCAGAGAGCAACAGGGCTGATTCTTGTTTTCCTTTTTCCAAGTGTGTGGCCTATGGGCCCCGCCGCCCGTCTGGGAGGATGATGTGGCATGTGGCGGTGTCCGGGGACCCTTGGGAACGGCATTAGGTGCCGACCTCACAGTCGCATTCTGTAGAGCTCCTTGTCCATGTATTGCGGTGTCCAGAGCCCAAAGTCCGGCCCGTGTCGAGGCCCTCCTCAGGCCCCCCCGCCCCGCCCCGATTCCCCTGACGCTCTCCTTGCCGCTGCAGTGACTCTGTGAGCAGTCCCCTCCCGCCCATGGGCTGAGGCCAAGGCCTTCCTGGCCGTCACCTTGGCCTGGCAGGTGACTGCCGGATCTTGTTGCTAGCCCCCAGTTTCTGGTCCTTTGGGGCAGTCAAGGCCAAGCCCTCACCTGAAGGAATATTTTCAGAGTTTTCTTTCTGTCACTTGGGGTGTCTTGGCTCTCCTGTTTCCCAATAAATTCCTCAACTTTGCCTGACTGCTGTGATTGAGGGGAGAGGAGCGGAGCCGGGGCCGTGCGGCGCAGACGCCTGGTCGTCCCGGGCGAGGCTGCTTTGCCCTGGCTGACCCGCCCTGTGGCGTTGGGCCATTCAGTGGCCCTTTGCTGGACTTCCTGTGCAGGTGCATGGCACACCAGCAGCGTTGGGCATGGCGCTAACGGTGCCAGCATCCACAGGGTCTAGCTGCAGCCCGGGGCGGATGACTAGTTTTCTGAAGTCCAAGCTCATAGTCACTTCTTTGAAGAACAGTTCATGTCCACAGCAGAGTCCGCACAGCTTTTTGTTCTAGCACCCAAAGCTGGCTGTCACTTGGGCCTCCGTCCCCATGTCCCTGTCAGAGCTGCGTGGTGCTCAGGACACAGCCTCTGTTCGTGGTCACAGTTGACTTCCCAGAATCCTCTTGTGGACGTGACTGATGCAGTCCTGCCCTTTTCCTAGTCCCCCCCCCTTGCCGTCATGCTGACACTTCAGCTCTGGGTGACGGTGTTCAGTGTGGCCTTCTGACTTCCTGTGCGTCCTGAAATGCGCACGAGCACCTCTGGATGAACTGTTTCCGAGCACCGGGCGCCTTGTGGAAGGCAGGTGGTCAGGAAACCTCAGCTGAGCTGGCTCGCGGGTCTCTGACTGCGCTGGCGAGCGCCACCTGTTTCGAGCCTCGTTGAGACCTTAAAAGTGGGTTCCTGTGCTAGAGGCAGAATTGACCCCTTCGCCCTGCATGCTAAGCGCTGTCCGGACATCGCTGAGTTCGTCTCGAGGGTCCTCGCGGTCGCTTGCGTTCATTCTCCCAGGGATGCAGAAGTCCTTGGACAGTCCAGGCGGCGTGCTGGCTGCTTCTCTGCGGGCTCGTGAGGGAATGGGAGGTACAGCGTCACATGTGAGACGCGCAAGTGATACCTGCCGATTTAGCGCTTTGATCTAGCAAAGAAATTGTTCTGCAGGGGCCAGTGGCCTAAATTCCATGTTGCTAACGTCAACCCAACGGTTGTAAGAGAGACGTTTGGCTTGGCCTCCCTCTCCTAGTGGGGCCCCCCGCATGTGGTGCTTCGGGTGTCTGCCCTGCCGCACCTCCTTTGTAAAGCCAGCTCTGGCCAGCCCCCTCCAGGATGCATCCAGCGTCTGGAACTTACTGATGCAACCACTTGTCCGCCCCCCTGTGCCAAGTGCTTTATGGTATTTTATTTCATTTAAGCCCTGAGAAATAGGCGTCCTGTCTCCATGTAGGAGGTGAGGAGCAAGTTTACAGGGGCCCAGGCTTGTCCCAAGCCACACTGAGTGAGTGCTGGGGATCTGAACCTTGGCCTGCCTGACCCGGACGCCCTCACCATCCTCAGTGGAGTTACTCAGTACTTTGAACCTCACACCTTTATGCCCCCCGGGCCAGGAAGCTGCCCTGCCTGGGCCTCTCCCTGGCAGTCAGGCTCTGCAAAGAAAGGCCAGCTCCCACTGCCACTGGGGAGCGGGGTTGGGAGTGTGGGCGCCATTGGTGACCCCACAAACGGCTAATGTCTAAGGTGGCTGTCGAGTGGATTGTAGGAGAGTGGGGATCTGTGGGCTGGGGGAGTCTGACGGGTCCCCCAGTCTGCCATCTGGGCTGTATAGTGGGAGAGGGAGGGGAAACTCCCAGTCTTCATCTTAGGTAAATCCCTGTGGGAAACCTGCGGAAACCTGCATTTTTTCTGGTCCAGCTAATCACCTCCACCTGCTTTGGCTGCTTTCTCACAGCTGCATGCAGCATGTCTCCCGCGCTTGCTCAGTGCCTGGGGCAGGGCCTCATCCACCTTTACAGGAGCAGCTGCTTACTGAGGGCGACTGCCGGGCACTGAGTTCTTGGCCACTTAGCCACACTTTTATGACAGGTACGTTTTAAAAAGCGTCTCAAAACTGAGCAAAGGCTTGGAACATTTAAAGTTTTGCGTAACAAAAGTTGACATACCAGCGTAGGCCTGGAATGAGACTCTGGATGGGTGTAAATGTCGGAGGCCACAGCGCAGGGCTGCAAAGATCCACTTTCAGTTGCCCGAAATTCCTACGAGGGTGGGGGGAACGGTGGTTCCACAATGGCCTGACCCATGTGAGTGAAGAGCCGCCTCAGCAAAGCCTGTGGCAGACACCAGTGCAGTCAGTATGGCTGTTTGCTCGGAGCTTGGCTCGCTGCGGTCCGAGGCGGCGACAGTGAATTCCCGGGAGGTGATGGCAGCTCGCGCTGTCCACTGCCCGCGCCTTAGCCCCGCACTGATGTGTGTCAGCGCCTCTGGGGAGCTCTGCCTGGGTGGCTGCGGGAGCTGAAATGAGAGGCAGAATTTACTGAAGTGCACTCTTGTGCAAAATTTGCATTTTGTGACCCAAAGTGGGAACAACTGAATTTAGTTGAAACTAATAGGACAATTACTGAATAGTAGCGAGTATATAGCAAAAACAGTGAAGGTCTGAAGGGAATGCGGAAGCGCCGTCAAAATTCCGTGGGGGCGGAG